ACACGATCGGTAAGAGGATTACTATACTCGTTAAGCTCGTTAAAGCCTGCTATATACTGTTGAATAGGCAGGGCAACTATTTACCATAGCATATTAAACATCACATAGTTAACATAGCACATTAAACATCACATAGTTAACATATACATGCTAACTTCAGCGCGCATGACACATAACGTTAATAGCATTTACTACAAATGATGGCCGTGAAAGAGACTGCGAACGCATTAAATATAATATTAAGAAGTAAAACAGCGTAAAGCTGGCTTACAGATTCAGTTAACAAATGAATAAGCGCGACGATTCAGGGAGCAAATCTGCTTTCTTCGTCCCTCTGTCTCTGGTCCTGCGCTGTGCTCACTCAGTGTGCAGTGCGAGAGGGGGAGTGGCCAGCGGCTAGAGCGGCAAAAACCAATGCGTGCTTCTTTTAGCGATATATTTAGCGATATCTTTTGCATTTCTAATCCAAACAACGTCAAACTCGGCACTGCACTTACTCGTGCCCGTAGCAAGACACCTGTCAAGTTTGAGATCCATCGGACTAACGGTTCGAGAGATATGCGATTAACAGACAGACACACACACACACACACACACACACACACAGACAGACATTCCTGTAATTTATAGATAGATATTTAATTTTTTGCGCATGAAATTTGTGTATACGGTTTTAATGTAAATTTTGGTATTCAATATAGCATTTAAAAATACAACAACCATTCTTTTTTCTTTCTTTTTATCGTGGTTAAAAAAGGAAAAAGGAATGGACCCGTCTACACTAGAGTTGACACTCCATCAGAAGGGCTTTCTTTTACACTGGGCTTAACCCCGGGTTATCGTGGTTCTAAAGCCCACAAGGAAAGTTTCACAATTTAGAAGCAGGGTTAGCCAGGGATGTGCACGATTACTTGCGTACAGCTGATATTGATCATGAAGATCGGCGTGACTTAATCGACTTAAAAAAAATATTTCTTTATTTTCTGATTGGTTATTGTGACATTTTGGGCAGTGCCTGAAGTCTGATTGTTTAGTGTTAGGACAGCATGCCGTTAGGGCTATAGCGATGAAGGAATTTCCCTTGCAGTAATTTTGAGTGGCTCAATAGCGCGATATGCGGTATTATCGCCATTTATTTATTTATTTTGATTTATTTTGTCTTGTCTCTATTTTGATTATTTGTTGCTATATAAATAAGTGTTCATGTTCAATACATGTTCAGTAACCAATGTAACCGAAACTAAACAGCGTTGCAACAGAAAGTAAAGTAAACAGAAGAGAATGTCAAAATAAGAGTCCACATAACATAAAAATAGCCTAATGTCAGGTTTATATTCTATGTATAACAGTTAGTTCCGATCCTCGAATCTGACTGGACAAAAGGCTTTCTGCTGATATTTCACCAGTATCATCCTCTTCGTCTCTGCGCATAGACACTCAGTGTGCAGTTACATTGTTACCCCACTAGGTGGCAGCAAGGGACCGTCTTTGAGTCAATAAACCATTTATTCAACGAACACGTTCAAAAACGCTGATTAATTAAAAGATAGATGTAATAAAACAAGCTGTTAATTATTTTAATTGAGCTCCACTTCTTAAGGCTCAGCTGACCAGCAATGCGTCGCATGGGTAACGCTGATGCTTCACTTAATAGAGACCAATGGCATTGATTCAATGCATTGACCAGCGCTGACGCCATTCATGGTTAATACCCTTAAACGTTAAAATGATGATACGACAAATATTTCGCTTTCCTTGGACATGACAAACCTTTCATGAATATATAAGACTTGACCTCAAAGACAGACGCAGGTAATCGCACGCGCTCAGTCGATCTCAATCATTCGTCTGTTTAGGCTTGTTAAGTGCAAATCCACGAAGTCTCTGTACAAATCACCATGATAAACACAGCCTTGTTATCATTAACTTATTTAACATTCAGTACACATGCACGAAGTTCAAAACAAGAAGGGTTAGCCTTATGGTTAGCTACACATTCAGAAAAGCATGGTCAAGTTTACGTGCGCATTCAAGTATTTTTTTGCAGATGTAAGTTGTATAATATTACTTTTATGTTGTATATATCTGATTAATCTCATATAGGATGTGTTTTATATATCAAAACATAAAAAAAAATTATACATAATGTTTTATTCATCCAAAATGTGTATAGGCAAATACTATATATATATACATGACAACTCTCTAGATATTTTTAGCATGGTAATGGATATGACATTGTTAATGTATTTGGTCTTGGCGGAATAGATCTGCTACACTGCTGCTGCTGAATGGCTGCTGCTGTTGATTATTGCTGTTGTTGTAGATTATTGCTGCTGCGGCTGCAGAGCAAGTACAGGAACTTGCTACTGCCAATACATACGCCGATACGCTGACATACTGCTGCTGCACAATTAGCATACATCAATTACCCATAGCAGATCTATACAGGTGGAGCTGGGGAAGGTGGGGGGTTTTAGACGAACTCTGAAAGCGTGCTGCAAACTGCTATAGTGAATGGTAACCAGCCATTTAAATGTTCAGCAAGCAAGCTCATTGGCTGCAGATGCGACATGAACCAATCAGCTTGTTCCAAGTAGTTAATGCTGTAAATATCATCAGCTTGCGTTAATGACCTATCAGCATGCGCCATCTAGAGTTTCATGACAGAACTAGGCATATATACATACATACATACATACATACATACATACTAGGCTTTCTACGATAGTCGGTGTTGACTGTGTTACTGGTGTTCAGAAGCAACACCGGTTACATCACTTGCCCACCGCGGCACCACCCCCCACCACCAAACTAAAATGCGCACGGCTGCACAGGCATTCATATGGTGCGTGTCCATGAGCGTGGAGCGAGCAGAACAGAGTGAGTGTTTTCAGTCCATTCCTATGGTACGAATTAATTGAAAATGCTCGCTCTACTCCGCACCACTATGAATGCCTGTGCGGACGTGCACATTTTAATTTCGCTTTCCAATTAGCGATTTAAAAGCCCCCGCCGGTGATACCGGTGTTGTCACACTTCAATTAACCGGTGGGGAAATATCCTCACCGCCACATCCCTAATACATACATACTACATATATACATTTTATATATATATATATATATGTATATATAGTTTTGATGCAGCACTTTGTGCATTATGCAGTTCTTCTAATGTTTCGTTAGTGTAGTTTCACCACACCCATTTATGTACTGTCAATTATATTTTAGCAGCGTTTAATATTAAATAAAAATTTTCACTAGCATTTTACCACATCACAATGGGCTTTTTTCAGTTTTATTAAAAAAGACAATTGTTGTAAATCTCAATCTAAACAATGTTGAGTGCAGATCCTTGTATGTTCTCTTTCCTGTATTGAGTTCCTGAAACAAGCCAACACTCAAATAAACAGGATGGAAATGATGAGTGACAAGTTTCATCCTCACTGCAAACATTTCTAAAATGCTAAGATGAAGAAAAAAAAATTTAGTGCATTAACCATTTGTACAGTTGATGAATTAATCAATCAATCAATGACTCATTAAGACAGTGACTTGCCGCCATCTACTGGCAGTTTTAGTTTTATATCTCTTTTAAGTAGCCTATCATTTAATTTCAGTTTCATTTCATATTTTGAAATATGAAATTGTATATAAAATCATAGCATAATTTATGCATTTATAATTGCAGTGTAAATACATTTAAATGCTGCTTTAGATGCAGCTTCTGTGCCATTTCTGCAGTGCAAAAATAGATGATAAATTGATACTGATATTGTTTGATTAGTAGCGCATTCAACATCAACGATATCAAAAACAATGAGAAGAGGTTATTGTGTCAGATTGCTTTCTCTCCACACATGAACCACTGCAGAGATTGTTTTCAATCTGGCCGAGAGCACCTTGTTCAGGCAATTTTGGACTGATTATTTTGATGCGGATACGAACATGGTTGCAATGTTCATATACATTATCCTGAAACAAACTGAATGTTAACACTTTACAATAAGGTCACATTTGTTAATATTAGTTAATGCATTAGCTAACATGAACTAATAATAAGCAATATGTTTTTAAAGCATTTATTAAACTTTCTTGATGTTAGTAAAAATCGAATTATTCATTGTTTGTTCATGTTAGTTCACAGTGCATTAACTAATGTTAACAAACACAACTTTGGATTTTTAAAATGTATTAGTAAATGTTGAAATTTCCATTGACTAAATGCTGTAGAAGTATTGTTCATTGTTAGTTGATGTGAACTACAGTAGTTAACCAATGTTAATTAATGAAACCTTATTGTAAAGTGTTACCAACTGAACTAACTCTGCCTTGCCTCACTGATGGCATTGAAAGGAATAACGTTCATTCCTTTAACTAAGCATTCATTTTTGTTTCCTGATTTTTAGCTGCTTGATTGAACTGATTACATTGTTTCATTGTGAGGAAAGCACACTGAAGTCATACAGCTCTCTGGCTTAAGTCTCGGTTTGAGTTTGCTTGGCTTGAGTTTGATTCTAACACCTTTTCCCTCCCCCAGAGGTCTGTCTTGACATTATATTTGGGTCTGAACCATGGTACATTTGCATCAACGCAAGTACCACAAAGAATACTACCGGAAACTTACCACCAAATCTTTACACGCACAAATCAGCACTTGCATTTGTCTGCCGAGAATGCATTTCAAGAGATGCGAAGCAGAGATGTCATAAATTAATCGTTTTTATTAAGTGTTAGTGATGGCATGCCAAGATGCAAATTATACATCAGTAATGATTCACTTCCACAAGTTGAACTGCAAACCATACTCCCATTTGTAAGTGGATTCAGGTGCAATTCACATTTAAGTTTAGAAAACTACTTTCACATAAACAAAACAAACCTAACTCTGAAATGAAACCACAAAAGTGTCCTAAAATATAAGCAAATTTCCTTTAAAAACCACATCTATGTATGTACTTGTGTTTTCTACTGTCATGTACAAGAGGAACTTGGTACCTTTTGCAGCCATTGTGTGTTGTTCTCCATGATGGTCTGTAGTTGTTCTAGTCTTTGGACTGAGCTGTCGTAGTCAACCAGGTCATCTCGCTGCACTTGGTTGGTGAAGGTACTTGAAGGACCTCCACAGTTCTGCGGTTCTGGCAGCAGAAAAGTGTAGGTGCATGGCCCGTTCTGGATCTGGTATGACTTCTTTCCTGTTGCATCTGAATTGGTCGTAAATGCTTCCCCAGCACTAAGGCAATAAATTAGAAATAGTGTGCCGGTGTTCAGCATATTTGTTCTGAAAATATTTAATACTACTTCTACCTGTTTAAGTAAATATCTTAGTTCCTGTCTTATTAGAAGATGGGTGTTTGAAGAATGAAAAGTCTCTACATCCAGTTGATTCTCCTTTTCCAGGACTGTGCTCACACTCATTTATATGCCATCAAGAGTAGGAGGAGGAGACCGTGTCACAGAAGCAGTCGTAGAGTGTCACTCGCTCACAGGCTGATTGTACTCATCCCTCATCAGTCTAACAGGCTGTTTTATTACCCAAGTCCTCTGTGAAGGACTGAGACTCCTCCCATGACCCATGGCCTCTACTTGAGGAGCACTGCTTGGAAAGAGGAGGATAAAGAGCATTCCAGCCAGACCCTGAAGCTCAAGCTCTCCCTCTTGCCTGTATCTGCTGCTCCAACAAAAGCCAAGACAATGGTTCTGGTCGGCGGGAGAGGACGGGGACGCAATGGTTGTATTTGTGTTTTACTTAGAGGCTGCTGCTGAAAAAAAAAAAACTCTACTCAGGATGCAGCTGTATAATTCAAGTAATGCAGCTTCAGCAGTGTCCAAGTCACACCAGACGACCACATGTCCAGTTGAGTTTTTTGCTTTGCTTTTGTCCTTCCACATTCTCCTCTTCAAAGCATTGGTCCCCTTGAATGGTTGAAGAGAGATAAAGAGAGGGTCTTTCAGTTGTCACTCACACTATCATTTCAAGACCATCACTTCCTGTCCTAAATCTTGAACACAGTGGGATCCAAAAGTCTGAGAATCTTCTCATTGAAAACTGGAAGCACATTTTTAGGTTTTTGAAAAATGTCTTCAAAAAATTAAGAAATTCTGATATTGTTGTCAGTTTTTCAGGTTGACTTGTTACTCAAATTGATATGTTGGTAATATGCCGAAAGATGAAAAGCTGCTTGTTTATAAAAGTATTTGGCTTTCACTAAGATGACATTTGTAAAAGCTCTTATCGTGGATTCCTGATTGTCATTGATTTTCATATTGTCTGATATGGTCATGCATTTCTTGCGGTCATTGCTTTTCTTTGGAAGGGAGAAGCAGTTGATTGTGTTTTTGCTGTCTGTTCAGTTTCTCATGGTTTCAGCTGTCTCTCTTGAAATAATGTTTGTTAGTACAGCAGTGTTAAAGCTTCTTTTTTTTTTTGTTTACTCTGGCATTTTTATTTATTCAACATACCAACAGCAATATGTGTAAGGCATTTTTGGTGGGGAAATTCTTCTGAAATCTGTTAAAATCAGTTTTTGTAAGGCTCTGGTGTTAAAAACAAATGTGTTAAACTTATGATAGTTATTCAAAGATGCGTAAAAAGTCCACCAGATACTCGTAAAAAAAATGTTTTCAAAATTACAAACAGCCTACATTAGTATTTGACCTATAAAAATAAAATATTATTAGGCAAGTCCATAAGAGCACTTCCTGATTTCAGATGATCACAGTATATTGGACTGAAAAGCTGACATCAAGGAAGGGGAAGGCAGGTGTTGTGGGAGGAAATAATTCCGCTCAGAGGATGTTTTGTCTTTTAACCCCTTGGGTGTCTCCTCTGCTTGGATATTATGTCCTTGTCGTCACTTCCATTACACTTCCAAGAGAACATTGCTTTATGATGACCATCAAAGCTTCTATTCAGTGTAGAGTGCATTACACACTCATAGAAGAAGAGGTTCTATATAGAATAGGGGTTCTCAACTCTGGCCCTCGAGGTCCACTTTCCGGCAGAGAGTTGCTCCAACTCTAATCAATCACACCTTGAACAATCTAATCAATGTCTTCAGGATTACTAAAAGATATAGATAAGTGAGTTTGATCAAAGTTGGAGCTAAACTCTGCAGGAAAGTGGATCTCAGTTGATCTCAGTGGAGTTGAGACCACCTGATATAGATCCTTTAGGGCAGTTGTGCCCTAATGGTTTGAGAGTTGGACTTGTAACCCGAAGGTTGCGGGTGCAAGTCTCAGTACCGACAGGATATGTTGGTGGGTGAATAATTTGTTCACCCACCATATTTTTGAATATGTGGGATATTGAATATTTAACTACTACAATATTAATTCTTAAAATTACATCAGAATGTGAAAAAGTTGTTAAAAAATTGACATTTTATTTTTTAGTTCAACTTTCATGGGATAGAACGGACAGGATTGTGGAATATCAGGGGTTTTTTTCCTGGCTCAAAATGAGGTGGAGGTGGTAAAATCCTGATCATGTGAACCGCGTCTTCAACTGACTGAAGAAAACACTTTTTACAATCACATATTTTAGGTATTTTGATAAGATAATTAGATTTTTATTTTGATAATAGTACCATTATATAGTGTACACTCTGAGAATTCAAAAATGAGAGCTCCAACCCATGTTCAGATTTGAAAGTTCAAATTGAACAAAGAAAGAATGCATTGACTTGTACCTGAACCCTCAATAATTATAATTTTATATTATTATTCCTATGACAGTAATAGCCATATATTGTAAAACAAATGCACTGTAAAATAAATGAAAATTACTATTTCACAAGTATATTATGCTACAGTAGAGAAATCACAATACTTTTATCCTAATTTCTACACTTGCAAGAGATAAACCCTTGAGCTTTTATTTTGACTGAAACCAGTTGAGCTTTTATTCGTCACAACTGGTAGTCACATTAAAATCATTAAGTATGATGAAATGGTAATATATTACACTAAAGTAGGCTTATTGTAAATCAACATTTATTTAAAGTAAAAGGTCTTCTTTGGCAAAATTATATTTCCCTAATAGCCTATAATACATGCTTTACTACCTTCAAACCTAAATTAAAAACCCTGGATATAATTATATATAATATAATGATGCATCTATGCTGCCCTCAAAAATTGGTAAGATGAAGGTATATCAGTAATAGACAGGACTATGACACAAGCATTGGATTAGGACATGCATTGTTGCCTTCCTACCGCCGTATCCTGTGGTTGAGGCAGCATTTTTCATCTGTCGGACACAGCGTATATAGAACCCCTTTGAACCTGTTTTTCTAAGACTGCAGTTTTCACTAGAAATGCACAGAATGCAAAGAAAGGCTGGCCGTCGCTCAGGTGCAGGGGATGAATAATTTTCCCGTATTACATGTTTGGGAGGGCTCCTGTTTGTGTTAGTCATTTAATGTCACAAGGAAGTTGCAGGAGGAAGGAAATTACACAATGACCTTCTTTTTCTTAAACAGCGTTTTCAACGTGCAAAACCTCTGTCCATTTTATTCTGATGAGAGAGTTTGTCATTTACAGGTTTGGGAGGCTATTTTTTCCTTTCATTACACTAGAGACCTGCTCACACTGTGAAAAACATTGTTCAATAAAACATTAATATGGAAACTCCATTTAACCCTTTAATGCATCAATTAAAACAAAGAAAAAAAATCTTAAAAGAAAAATGTTGTGCAACCCCTACTTGTACAATTGTGACAGGGCAACTGTACAGTCTTATTTATGACAGCATACAGCATACATATTCAATGTCCTTTTCCCTCCAAAACAAAAACATTCCCAAAATAAATTTTTCCAAAATGATGTATTTTTAGATGAATTACGTATGTCCACTGCAGTAGCAGTGGTAGATATTCAAGAAGTAATTTTTAAAGTATGCTGCCATAGATAAGACTGCACAGTTGCCCTTTCACAATTGTACAAGTAGGGGTTGCACGACTACTGATTTCTCCTCGATTACCGTGTCTACACCAGACGTGACCGTTGACGCGCTGCGCAATGCTAGAAGCTGTCTACACCGGACACGACAAAGAAACCTTTGCAAATCCATTTGTCCTTCCTATCACGAGTGCTTGGAGTACGTCATAAATAGAACGAGGCATAGGTTTACTGTCGGGGATTTGGCGTCTGGTGTAGACACGGTGTGACTCGTCAAAACAATACCCGAGTTACGCGAGTACTCGTGGTTTGTTACCGCTAAAAAGGGACATAAAAATAAGTCAAGTGTTTATTAATTGACTCAATGTTTTCAACAATTACGTCTTTTACGTGTTGTAAAATCATTCAACTAACGGGTTTCATTTTGTATTTAACAGGAAAAATAACATGTAAATTGGCACGCAACATTATAGCCTTAACATCTGCATTTTTGCTTAAGACATTTCTCCTTATATAAAACCTTATTTAAAGCCAACTCACCAGGAAAATAATACGTATATACACACATTAATAAAATTCATTTTAACAGTTAGCAGTTAGTTATTATACAACATTAGCCTCCTCATATAAAATTTCACAGGTCTTCAACAGTAAATAACAGATCTGTACTTGCATCACTTAGATCTTCACTCAACCGGTTCAAAATAGTTTCTAATAGAATAAGACAAAATTCATGTAGTCTATTTCCTGTCATCATCGGTTGTTTCGGTCATGGTTCACTGGTTTGCGTCAAGAAAAACAAGCGTGTCTACATGAAGTTATGGTTATTGCACGGTCGATTAATCAATGGCTTCTGACAGCGCCTACTAGTGGTTGAAGTAGTCGACTACATGACTAGAGCACCACCTAGACTAGAGCTTAGAAAAAGGGTGCAAAATGGCCACAAAGGTGTCCACTGTAGATCTCAACAGGTTGAGATCACACTTGTTCGTCTGTAACAAAAAACATATTGAAGTTACATTTTTGTGATCCTGCATTCCTTCAGTTCAGAACTATCTACCTTAACTCCTGTTAACAGGGCTTAAACTATCAAGTGTCCAGTGGTTCAACACAAATCCCCCCTTGACATTGTTTCAGCAGATTCCTCTGGGTTTTTTTTAAGCTGGAAGGCACACTTGGTTGGCAACATTATCACTTAAATTATACACATCTTTACAAACAGTATATAAATCACATTTCTTATCAATATACATTGAGTGACACTGAGGAAACTAATGACGCAGTTTAATAAGACTGCGATGATTAAAATGGCGTCTTAAAGACGCACAGATAGGCCCAAACCGAATACTATACAGTGACATCAACATTAGTTTTAATAATCAATAAGTTTAGTATCACACCGGACGCTATTGTGGTAGTGAAACTGTGATGAGTCATGCATCTAGCAGTTAAAACGTAACAATAACAGATACACTTTTAAGCAAAATAATTATATTGATTCAATCATTTAACATTTATAAGTTAATTACTTGTCAGTAACACACACAATATTGCACAAATTATAGCGATCACAAAGAAGTAAGGTCTTCACTCTCTCTGTCCAAAATGCGTACAATCTGGGCCAATATGAACTAACATAGTAAGGTGGATATATACCACACCCCATCAGTTATATTCAGTTCTATACTCCC